TTCAGTTCCGTTACATTTACAATCTAACCATCTATCCATGTGGTACAGTCCATTCCGTTCGGGATCGACTGCTTATTTTGAAATATGTATCCTATTTATAGCTGAATAAACCCTCGGAGGTTTTCCTCAGTCAAAATTAACCGTAAATATCGACACCTGGTACGGGGATTCACACAACTAAAGCTAATCCATGTACAGGAAACATCCGCGATTGTACACCGATTTCATCGGTCCTAAAAACACCTGCTGTCTGAAAACTTCATTTCAGTTGTATTAAAAGACTTCAATCGTACCTAAATGCTCCTGGTAGTGAGTAATCCGTTTATCCGTGTCACGTCGATAAAACGTTTCAGCAAGTTTGTAGGTATTTAAAGATGATATGTTAGTGAAAAGGGGTTAATGGACAAATTTTGAAACAGTCCCATAGAATCGTGAGCTTATGAGCCGAATTATCAACACATGGAACTACACTAACGGTATCCAAGAGCGGACGGCCCGCTAATGAGCCGACGACGAATGGCTTCATGAAAGCAGACCATCGAATCGGTGGTGATCAGCGAAATGATTTATATCGGGGAGTAAGGCATATTAGTCTGTTGGCCTGCCTGATAAGTGACCACAGTCTGCTGGTCGAGATGGACCATATAAGGTAGATGAAAAAAAATAGTGAAAAGTATAAGTGGAATGAAANTGTTCTGTAGGCCTAACTGTGGTCAGATTGCGGTTCCATATCGAACAAAGATCAGATTCTAGCTGTTTGATAGACACACGCTTGGCTCAGTATAGATTCCGCGCTCCGTAACCAGTGAAAGCTTCAGAAGCACCCGATCTGTTTCGAGAAGCCAGGGACTTAGCAACTCTGTGAGTAATCATCTCGCTTCTTCAGCGTAAGTGAATATCGTTATAGTGTTTGCTCTCCTACGTCATCGCACTTGTCATCTACGATACCCTCCAAGACTACGCATAGGCATTTCATCGTTGTGATGTACATAAAATTAGGTTGCGAATTCTGACGACGATTTCAACGTTCAGCTGTTTTCTACTTTAATCAAGGAATTCAATGAAAGCCTTCTCTGAGCTTGGCACACCGGGCGACTCTTCAGTCCAGTCCATCTTTAAAACGACCTTTTCCGCTCAGGTTACTGAGTACTTACTGACCATTCGAGTGCTAATTTTGTCGGAGTCCACGTCGCAGCTAAGTATCAATTGGACACACCGCCGCCAACGCCTCTTTCTAACTTGCTAACATTGAATCCTGCTCACGTGTATTCGATCTTCCGTCCAAATAAACCGATGGTCACTGAGGACACTAGCCATATAGTTGTCGAGGCTAAGGTTGGTTCAGTAACCTAGCGCCCAGAAATGCTAACTGAAAAGAAAGGGCTGCAGTAGCTGGGGCGTAGCTTATGGTTTGCACACAACACCGTGGCCACCATACTGGTAAGCAAAACGGTTTCTCCTCCAGTCAGGTTCTCAAAGTTCACCACTCAAAGAGCAATCACTTCCGTCAAACAGATCTGGCACTTCCTTCATATTCCATGTATCGCGACTTTCGATACTTAGGATTTGTATATATGCGCGTTGACAGAATACACCAGAATCCGGGATCTTGCGTTCTAACCCTTAAGTAATTTAGTTCGAACGTGCACTGAGCGTAGAATAATAGATCAGTTATTGCACACCAGGCTGGTACGACGGCGTCAATTACCAGAGGACAGCTCCTGGGCCGTTAACCAGATCGTCGGGCTACGCAGTCTTTCGACTGCGAGAAATCAGTGTGTTATTAAAGCATCTGTCAGATACTTGTAACTCACAAACCAACCGGTGTTCGACTAATGGTCGTCACTTCGATCGCTCACCGATTCGCGTAGAGTAGAACTGAGGAACTCTGTGAAATGGCTCGTTACTGAGCTTTCTAGTATTCTACCATACTTCCACTTTAATATCAAACTGAAAAGCGGACCCATGGCTTGGTAATTTATCGGGTACTTCGTGAGAGTCGACGACTACTTTGGAAAACATGCGGACTATTTTCCACTAGTCAGAGAATAAAAAGGCCAACAGCTAACTAAAATCAAAATTTGGTACCTGGCTCTACTTCCAAGCATGTGGTCTTATGGATAAAAGCCTAGAATCACTGACAGGAGGATCTCTGGCCTTTGGACCTACCCGGTAGTTTTGATGAGGATGCTGACCATGGTATGGCTTCTTGACACGCGGTCATATTTTAGCCCACTCTGTCCACGCTTGAAGACCCGTTGTGTGTCGATTCAGAGTAAAACTTGACCAGATTCATCGGGTTCAGTTATAAACAATCTTTTGAATAAATATGTTCACAAACGGCGTTGACTTCGGACCAATTAATGAAGGTTTTACTTGGTGATCTGGCTTTCTATGGGGTCAGTCGACATTCAGAGGTAAAAAAAATGCAAAATCTACACTTTCGTCACACTGTCCTTATGCTGCCGCAGCAGGATCAGTTTTCTCCTACCAGTATGTCCAAAAGTACATAGGGCCTTACCAAGTATGCCGGTTGTTCTCCAATTTTTTTCTCTGAGAAGTTACAAAAGGCTCACTTGGTGTAAGTGACCTGAACAAAGTTCACATGACCTGAGTTAGAGCGCGCACCTGCATATCAGTGGTCAAAATGACAGGGTTGAATGACTCTGGCCTTCACTCTATCGATTAGTAGAGACTGGATTGTTGTTAAAAACGGGGAGTGTTCTTCTCGTCCTTTCAGGATTTCACTTCAACGGTAGAATGGAGTAGCAAAATGAACGGTGAGTTCACTTCTTCATTATTAGAATATAAGAATATTTTCTCCCCGTGAATCGTGTTTTTTTGAACTTTTTGTAGGTGTTCTATCAAACAAGTCATTTCTCCCTGACAAAAGCCGCTGTTTGCTTTATTTGCTGGAGGGTTATTACATATCGGAGGGATTTTCTAGAAATATGAGTCTATAAAATCTTTACTAGTACAAGAGAACCGGTCGTAACCCCTGCCTGTACAACCGCCCATCTAGTCTTTGAAACTTTTTGGGCTCTATACACCAGTTTTTATGACACATGTATGGCAGCACCAATAAGGAGATATACATCTACACTTGAGTATTGACCCAGATGAACTAAAAGGGTCTTTAGGCTACATGTTAATATCAAGAGGGTGACAAAAGTTTAGCGGGATCTTTTGTTTACATCAGCTTGTAGGTGAGCGAGTGATTTCACGGGCGGTGACTGAACTGCCAGTAAGCCCATTTCCGAAACTGTGCCAGGTATGCGCCATTTTTCAACTGAAGGAATGCATTTAAGTCCGTACGCAGCTCAGAATTGCCACCGTGCTAGGGCGTGGTTCACATATCCAGCCAGGAGATAGATCAGTGCACTACTTTGCGAATGCAAGTTTTACAGACACTGGATGAAGATTACAACTCCCACCAAATGAAGCGAATTTCACTGTCCTACCCAGCGTACTGCAAGATGCTCCAGATTTGAGACGGTGACGTAGAGTGTACATATCATACTAGCTAATCAACGCGAACCAGGTGAGTGAATAGATGCCGGACGGTACACAAACTAGATCAGATAGCCACCAGAATGAAGTCTAAGTTAGCCTCTTTCAGAGTGATTAGATCTCAGTAGTTCTCAGAATACTGACTTAGTCTGCTATCTTCACCAACATCATCATCTAGTATCATGGTTTTATTGGGGCTGTCAGGGCGTCCAAACCTAGATGGAAGGATGACTCGAATGCTTGGCCAAAGCTTTCCATCCAAAAGACTGTCCATGGCCACCTTCAAGGCAGCCACAATTAGTATGCCTATTCAATTTTGCTCATTATTTAAGCATCTGCTTAACCATAATCAAACGTGCATTACAGGGAACAAATTTATATATGGAGGCAGCTGCTGTTTAAAGAGCACTTTTTGTTTGGCGCGAGGTATATGGTAATTCTGTGATACAGTGGAGAACCTGCTGTAATATATCCATATCAGCCACATTTTATGCTTTTACTTTCATTTAGCTGCACTGCGAGTGGTGGCTTTTCATCAGGGGCCTAGAACGTGTAGTACTACATCGGAAATTCATTCGATATACGTCTTATAAAATCTCTTTGCGTCTGAAGAAAATTGTTTCTCTTCGTTATCAAGTCACACTAGCATGACCTGGAAGTGCTGAGGCTCACCTTCTCTTTGTGGCTACTTTAGAAAGATATATCAAATGACTGTATGCTTAGTAACTTCCTCACATTTTAGGGCAACATTTTGCTTTCGGAGAAAGTACTACTTGCGTCCTTTTAAGTAGCGGCTGATATCCGGCATAATGCATTTAAAATGTTTGTTTTGTAATCACCCAAAGGCTTACCGTCTGATTTTTCAAGTACCAACCAGTTCAATGCAGGGAGAAAGTACTGAGGTTATCTTCGACTCACCTCAGGAGTTCATTACTGTTTGAAGTTTCCTTGAGCGCCTAATCCAGCAAGTCAATGCTCCCTGATCAGTTAGTTCAACGTTCCTAAAAGATCATCTAATACGTCACATAAGGGTTAGTGTATGTTAAACGCAGGGAAAGATACATCAAATCTCCAAATAGGCAGATAATCACTGTGCGACAATTTTTCCAATATCGAAACCTCCGATGCTACTTTATTTGGTTTAAGTTTCACGGATGTTTGGAAAAGTCAGTGACGCCCGAATCTTTTCGAAAGAAGAAAAACAGTGCTATTAAAGTGCCACCCTGTTCTGAGGTACCGTGTTAAGCTTCTTTTCTGCTAAAAGTTTTCTTCATTTTCATTTTCTGTCAGTATTGCTCGACCTTACTGTTCAGAACATAATTCCTTGTAGGCAAATCAAAACGCTTCCTGGCTTGGTAAAAACATATAAATCTGGACAGATGTGTTAGATTATGGTATGCTTGCGGATTTGAATTTTTGCCGGTCGATGAGAGATTATTTGTACGCCATAAAGGGGTGAGCCTGTCTAGGTCAACTCAGTGATGACATACCCTCTTGAACAAGCTCAAATCTGGAGAAGAATAATCCAAAAAGTGATGGTTTTCATTCGACTCTTTAACGCTCTTGCTAGCATCTTTGATCCCGCCAGAAATGAGGACATCCCAAAATATGATACAATAGTGCTTCGACTCTAGCGACTCCCATCCTTTGAGAAATATATATACTCAGATTGAAATGAGGGATCCCATATATATTCGGACTGACCTTCCTAACCAGTAAGAAGTACATATCAGGTGGTGAAATTTCGTAATAACGATGATGGCTCTTGTCAATTAGTACAGATTATCTTTTTTAGTCATTTTCCCGTCTTACTTAGTATGAGTCGATTTTGTATGAACATGAGTCAGGATCGTTCTTGGAAAAAAACAAGTGAAAAACATGCTATTTTCCTTTTTCAGACGTAGATATTCTTCATTAGTTCAAAGCCAAGTTATGTCTGCCAGTCTGACACGAATGAACTGTGTGACCGGTAATAGCAGCAGGGCATATTCCGGTTGGCTAAGGGAGATACGGACTCGATATAGCCGAAGTGCATATCAGCTACTAAAAGCAAACCAACGAAGCAAATGCTCCAAATCCGGAGAATGGATTCTTGGCCACAAAATGGTTCTCCATCAGAGGGTAGGTGAGATTTTGCTTTCATTTGGTATCTACCTATTTTTATGACTGGAACTATTCAAAACTGGCTCACGGTGTTGTTTAACAGCCAGTCAGCATCAAACCGGACCGTCGTGACTTTAGGGTAGGGATTCGGTAGAGCGCAAAGAAACAGCTGAGGCTCTTAACTACGGGCTTTATAAAAAAACCTTCAATTTTTGCCCGTGCAAACACAAAAACACAAACGTTTTATATATCGTTTACGTTTTAGGCAATTAGATCAATACCTTTTTCATTCACCAACGCTTCTATATAGTGATTTCCTTGGAACCAAGCCTCCACTAGAAACACCAGGTGATTTTGAAAGAGGCCAAGCCGACGGATATTATAGTTGTGGACTCAGGCTTCATGGTGGATAGCAAAGAACTGAATTTAAAGTATTAAATTTAGAAAACCTAAACGCGCTTCACCGTGTTCAATAAAAATGCGTTCTCAATCATCTGATAGGTTTGAATACTTAACATTTATAACTGCGCGTGATCGTTGCATCTAAAGCGTCAGCTATATTCCACTGAGCCTATCCACATCACGTACAGCCTACATTTCCCAAAGAAATGTGCCTGAACGTTAGCTAAGATGCGCATACATTTGCAGCACAACACATGCTAGAAAGCCTATGATATGTGTCTCGACAATATTCTCAGTTTCAGAACAAATGTTTTTGCAAAATATCTAATGATTAGAATGATGAACATATGATGCTGAAAGACACGGTGAACATATTTTTAATGTTATTAGCCGAGAGCCGAAAATAACAGGGACAGGATTAGTGAGATGCTCACATTTGCATGTCGATGTGGTTTAAACAGGGGACTCTGGTGAATGCCGACTGATCCTGTCGTTTAGCGTATGCTTCAACTGAATACGTTGAATACAGCCGTCTTACGTATCACTTGGTACGATATTCGATATATTTCAATATATTCTCATGAAAGAACATTACTCCCAAGGTTGCTGAATGGTTTTCGGCAACATTTTATTTGGTGTTTCCTCATGAAGAGATGAGAATATCACACCGCCTTTGCTATCAGAAATGCGAGGAGGCTGTTTTTTGATCAGAGTAACTACCTCTTATGTGACTAAGCAAGAACCCTGTGGCAAGTTATCAAATACGGTGTGTTTTGTAGTTTATTCTGTTACCTCTCAAACCCGAGTGACCGCATGTTATCAAAGAAAAATTCTCGACAAACTAGCTGCTTAGAATTGATACGGCTCAATCGATGCTCTTCTTTACGTAAAACAGCCTAACTGTGGAGATAAATGGAGGGAATATTCGTATTTTCATTTCCGGAACAGGAGAGAAACAGATCTCGGAAGCCCATCCCAATTGCTGCCAAAGCGATTGAATACTTCGACAAGCAAGAACCCGTCGAGGAAGTGACAACTCCTGTTTTCCGAAATGATGTTCCGGACCGAACCAAGAGTGCAAAGGTAACTGCCATGTCTTCGAGAGTTTGGTCATAAACTTGAAGGGTCTGCATTTTACACTACCAACCTCTTTATTGCTCGTAGGAATCACACAGCGCATGTTCAACGACTTCTGTTCTCGTGTAAGTATTTGTTGAACACAGCTACCGTCTTGAGAGTCTTGAGCTCATCAGTTCCCCTATTTACGTATATATATATGTATA